TATATATATATATATATATACACACACACACACTTGATTTGTAGTATTTCGAGCTAAAACGAGTCGAACACGAACGAACAAATATTTGTTCGTGTTCGGTTCGTTAACTTAGCGAACGAGCCAAACACGAGTTGTTCGCGAACAGCGAGCCATTTTGACAGCCCTAACTCAATGACCAGTAAGGCTATAGTTGAACGACATGGTTGATGGCTGATTTCAAGTCTCCCAAATATCTGACTGGTGTTCACTTCTAACTCCCTCAACTCACATTTCAACATGAGTTGCTCAAACTCCGATGTGAACTCCTCTACTAACAACTCCCCCGGATATAAGTGATGTTGCCTAAAAAACATATCTTGGCGACAATGTGGGGGCAGATAATTCATCTACATCTTTTTCTTCATCTTCTCCAAAATAGTGATCTTGTTCCCACCTTCTTTCCGTCTCTCTGTTCAGATTCTCCCACCACAAAGATACACTCTTCTTTAATTTTTTCGCAGCAAGCTTCGCCCAACTATTAGTATGTACTTATACTCAAAAATCTTTTCTACAATCTGCAACTACTCAATGAAGTCATCCGGATTCATCCCCCCTTCAAATTCCGATAAGGCTATGTCACCTCATGTTTCAATGTCCTCCAAAAGTCACTCAACCCCTCGGCCTCCTTCGATACTAAATCTAAAAACATCGTGGTCTATCCTCCTCTCACTGCAATCATCGTTATGGAAGGGATTTAGATTTTCCTCCCTCTCTCCTCTTGGAATCTCACTATCATGATCAAGGGTGAACTCTCCATGGTTCCCTTCCTCAATTTCAGCAAGTCTTTCCTAAATTCGATCGATGTTTTGTTGTATCTCTTCCAAGGTAAGTTCCTGCTCGGCATCTGATATTTGCACCTTAGTGGCATGACTAGTATTTAGGTTTGTGAGGTGAAAAAGAGTGCATAGAGCTGAGTTAGGGTGCGAAATAAATTTAAGTTGTTGATATTAAAATTCAGCAAGTTACCATAAAATGAAACTACAGTTGGTCTGGCTCTGATACCAAATGATACCAGAATTTATCACACCCAAGAGAAAAAAAATGTTATTATTGAATTCAAAAATCTGAAACTACAAAAATAGGGAAATCGAAAATTGCAACAAAACAACACAACACTAGAACTAGGATTGGATCTAGCATGTGCATGGTGTCAGCGAGGGGTTTGGGCCTTTGGGAAGGTGGCAAGGGAGTTGGCTGGCAAGCTGAAAGGTGGCAACAACAATGGGTAAAGCGGCGACAACAAGGGAAAAAGCGAGAAGCAGCAAGAACAACGATGAGAGTGTTGCTCTGAGCCGTGGCAGCAAGAAAAATGATAAAGGGGATGTAAGAGCGTTGCGGGAAAGGTTGGGGAAAATGTATGGAAAAAGATAAACATCGTCTGGAGACCAAGAGACAACTGAAGCACCACTTTAAACCCCTAGGATACAACCCTAGAAAAGAAAAAAGAGATACCGACAGCTGTCCCGAAACAAATCACAAAAAAGTCTAAACCCTAAATACCAAAAAAGCAAATATACAGTCCTACATAACTAGGAGTGGGTCCCCTCTTAAAAAGACAGGCACTCCCAACTTTAGAGGGCCGGCCGGCCCTCACCTAGAATGAACCGGTCCAGGCATCTATGACGCCCTGCATCACAACATTGTATATCACGTCTAACTTTCAGAATCAACAGTAACATGCAGACTGTGTTTATAATCCAATAAAATGTGTACCTGTTAGCTTGTTTGACAAAGCTGCTAGTCTACCTTCCAGATCTTGCTTTTCAGTAGTTAGAGACGAAACACGAAGCTGCTGTTCAGCTAACTTATGCTGCTCTTGTTGTCTCAATTGAAACTCTTGCTATAAAGTTACGATTATTTAAACAACGGGGTTTGTAAATCAAAGCAACAAAATAAAAATCCTTACAGAATTAAACTAAAGTTAAACCTGCAATAGCGATTTCAACTCTGTTATTTCCTTTTCCATAGAAAGAACACTATCTGGTATCCTGTCAACGGATGGCATGCCACCGTATGGATTTGTCATAACTTGGTGTAGAGAATTTAACTCTGCTCTCAAGGCTGCAGCATCCTCTTCTGCCTATGCTACAAGTGAACATCAGGACTATAGATAGCACTCCAAAAACAAAAATCTGGAAAAAACCACATACTCTGTACTGCTCTTCTTCTGCCTCTTTCAGTCGCTTTTTAGCTGTCCGAAGCTGGGAGAGAGCATCCTCCTATTCTAAAGTATCACTGCATAAGATTGCCGTGCACAAGTAAAAGCAATAAATTTATAAGTGGTAATACCTTCCCAACAATGGCCGCATCCTTCTCAATGGACAAATCTTTCAGAGCCTTTCTCAAAGGAGGTATAGTATTTTCTTCCTGCATTGCAAAATGAAAATAGAAAATACGAGATATGAGAGCACAAATCTTTAAAAAATATTCAATTTTCAACGCATGAACAAGCAAAAAAAAGAGGAAAGGTTGACTTACTAAATCTTTTAAATTCTTCACTAATGAGCTATTTTCAGCTTCTTTTTCCTCAAGCTATAAGCGGAGAATCAGAAATTAAAGAATGGAGCAACCAATGCCAAAAAACTTCTTCGATATTACTCCAAAAAAAATAAAACTAAACAGAATAAAAATCCTACTACCTTAGCCAATAACTTCTGGTTTTCTTTTTCCAAATCTCCACATTTGCTTTGAAGCTCTTTAACTTGAGATAGTAAAGCATATGAATCCCTCTGAAGAATGAAAGGACAATCAAACTTTTATCAGCAAGTCTGAAAATTAAAACGATAAGTATGATAAAATTTGTGCAAGAATATTTATGGCGTTCACTTTTTTAATTTCCCCTTTATGTGTTGGTTTGGGTGTTGGTGTGTATAGAGACATTTGCATTCTGTGGTTCTTACAATTATCTGGTACTCCACCAGTCCATGTCCAAGAAAACAAGTCTTGGTTGATTTAAAATTATCGTATACATTCCATAAACTAAAAAAAACCAAATTTGTAAGAACATTTACAACAGATGTAGCATAATCTATAATCATAGGCTAGAAAAGTATTTCAATCCACCACTGGATTCACACATTGGAAGATTTCTAAGGGCAACATTTCTACTTTGAGGCCAATGAAAAGTTATATAGAACGATACAGTGGAATTGTTCAAAGAGCTCCAAGTTAGCACCATGAATGGGAGCATCAACATCTTCCATTTCTTCGCAGCAAAGTACTAATGTATCATTATAAATCCACACTTTATTGATGACAAAACTATAGTTCCTACATAATTAGGATTTACTTTTATGCAAAGTGAAGATGAGAATAGACATATTACTTTTTTTTTTATATCAATGACTAAGAGGGAAAGATAAATGAAAATATGACACTAAATAGGACGCAATGGAGAAAAAGGATTCATGTAGCCGACCCCACGTAGTGGGATTAAGGCTTTGTTGTTGTTGCTGTAATGACTAAGAGGGAAAGCAAACGCTTATAAATTTCTATCACTACATATTTATATATTTCTTTAATTTCTACATTTTTAATCAACATATTATTATCTTCACATTTAATACTTATAAATTGGTCAAGGTCTTATTATGTTCCCTTGTAATGCTTATAACTTGATCGAGATCCCCAGATCTACTATCTTTTACATAAGCTATTCCATTTCTTTTAATCTCATTTTCATTACTAGGCCTATCATATAAATCATCAAAAGTTATAATTTATATTTTACACGCAACCCTCTTGATCAAATTTATAACCATTTTATAATCATTATAAACCTTAATAATATTCAAATTTTACCATTTTTTTTCAAAACACATTGTTTTTTTTTCCTTAATAACATTTCAAACATTCTCTCTCAACCAGTGAGTCTCCTTCTTAGTGTATAATTTATTTTTAATCTCCTAAAATTTCTACAAAAATATTCTTAATATTAATAACCTTCTTATCCCACATCAAGTTTGGTATAACTTACAAAATTAATTTATCTCTCTATGCACGTCAATTTAGATATCTCGGGTCTAATGGCAGGGTTGTAACAATGGGTGATCAAGTCATTAAAAGGAATAATCATTTTAAATATCTCAAGTCTATCGTTCAAAGTGACAGTGATATAGATGTTGATGTTATTAGTAGAATTCAAGTTGGAAGGTTGAAGAGGAGGAATGTATTGGGCCTATTGAGTGATAGAAAAGTACCGCTTGAACTTAAATAAAAATTTAATAAGATGGTGGTGAGATCTGCAATGCTTTATGTCGTAGACTATTGGCCTGTAAGAAAGAAACATAAAAATTAAGTTAAGTGTTGTTGAGATGAGAATGCTCAAGTGGATGAGTGGTTTTACACTGACAAACAAAATATTAAAAGAATATATTCATGAAAGGGTTAGAGTAGCTCCAGTGGAAGTCAAGATTAGAGTCGTCTTAGATGGTTTGTCACATAAAACGCAACAATCAGATGACACTAGTAGGAAAGTAGATGTTTTAGATTTGATTTATACCAAGAAATGTAGAGGTATGCCTAAAAAGACTTGGGTCTGTTGTATAAGAAATTACCTTAAATTATTAGAATTAAATGAAAGTATGACACTCAATAGGACACAATGAAGAAAAAAGACTCATGTAGCCGACCCCATTTAGTAGGATTAAGGCTTGTCGTTATCTTCATTGTTGTTATCTTTAGGAAACTTTTTTTAATGAAATAACAACAGCTTATCCTTAAAATTTTAGTACCCTGGTCTAGCACCATAATTTTTTTATTATTTTCCTTGCACTCTTAACACACACACACACACACACACACATAATCTATTTGTAATTCGATGATTCCACTTTTATGAGGAACCAAGTGTTCTTCTCATTTCTTAAAAAGTGTTAGATACTATGAAGTTAAAAACTACTATGAAATCATGTATAAATTCTCCCACTGCATTTAAATCTTATTACATAAATGCCATGAATCATTTAATAAGCCATTCTATTATAGCATACATGTTCATTTAAATAACATCCAATATCTTTCCTTGACAAGAAACTATTATAGTAGTTCATCCATTTCTTTCAAAATCTTTTTTAACCATCTTTTAATCCAATGCGAGAATCATAAACATTGACCACATTCATAAATTTCTTGATGAAAATTAATTTAATGGCAATCATCTTAATACAAAGCCTACAAACCACATACCTCAATAATTTATTTTTCAACTCTTGTTCTACTAAGAGCCCAATCACATTCCTATTACTAACGTTTACAACATACATTAACCCTAACCTTTCCCAATTTTTTTTCCTTTCTATTTAATTCTGTACAATATCTCTCTCTCTCTCTCTCTCTCTCTCTCTCTCTCTCTCTCTCTCTCTCTCTCTCTATATATATATATATATATTCTTCTTTACATAATTTACACCAATTTCCATCTTCCCATTCAAAGTTCCCTAATTCCAGGCGAAAAAGCTAATCTTAAATTTAGGCCTACTCAACTCTTAATATTTACGACAATTAGGATGGCTTTAAGGGTGCCTCTTAAGGGTGATGATGTCCTCTCCACCCTTGCCAATAATTGGTATATGCAACAACATGGCAATTCTAGGGAATGCCATAATACTAGCACTATTAAGATAACAAACATAATGTTTATAAAAAACATATATCTAATCATGCTCAACAATGAAACAATTTCAAAGCTCATTCAGCATAATGCTTATTCAAGAAAGGTAACTTTGCATCCAAAGGAATTCAGCACATGCAATCAGCATCTGTTGTAAATTAAAAGCTCCGTTACTCAAATCAATCATTATTTCCAAAATGATCATATCTAAAAGCTCCAATTCACTTCCTCACAAACAGATGTAAGTCTACCACATTATATTCCAATCAAATGAGACGTGGAACAATTGCAAGCCTCGTGCATTGACAGCCTTAATATAATGTTCCCATTAATAGTTAAAATACTATAAAGCCATCCTAAAATATTATTCAATTTTTGTAAGGAAACTTTTCTTTCCACCTGAAAAGAAATCTATTTATGATTCGATAACTCCATTTTTATAAGTAACCAAGTGTTCTTCCAATTTCTTAAAGTATGTGTTTACTTTGAAAGACCATTAACTAATATGAAATCAAATTAGCTTTTCTCGTCACATTTATATCTCATATTTATAACCACCATAAATGCTCTTATATCCCATTCTACTATAGCTAAGATGCCCATATACATCACACAAATAACTAAAACCATGAAGTTACCAAATCACCTCAATAGCAAAACATTTCATGATTTACAGATCCACAAGAGAGCCTTATTGAGAAAATACATTTGCATTTGTATATCCATGGATTTATTCATGACTGCCTTCAAATTTTAAATCATTTGGAATACTATTCTTTAAGGAGATTGTTTATCTATATGACATACAAGCCATAGTTTAATGGAATCCATATATGTGAATTGCAAGCTATAAAAGAAGGAATTTATTGAATCATATAAACATAATTTTAGGCTTATCTCACTATTTCAACTTCTTGAGATTATTAAAAATGTATGTTAGAAAACAAATAAAAATTTAGACATTATTATATGGCATTCTCTCCAGCATGATTTAATCTTATTCATATACACAACTACAATGAAAACATCCGTTGGAAACGTCCTGCCGACAATTAGTCGAATGCAATTGCAACGAAAACGATAAGAACAATTCATCAAAATATATAAAGTTTCTCACAGGAACTCTTCAAAATTTATCTACCGGAAAAAAAAAAAAGTAATTCATTGATTTGGCATGAATTGATTCAAATTAAAAGTTTCAAAAAGAAATGTTAGTAATTTTTTTTAATATATATGATTTATTCTTTATATCATAAGTCGTCAACTAATTTGGCTAATTCTTCTCTATTTTTACTGAATTTTAGCTTCTCATCTAATAATTCATATTCACATTTTCTCAATAACAATATTAATCTTGACCTTAAAGTAATTGTTGGGTAAAAATCATTTCCCTAATGATATTGCATATTAAAGCTACCTTATATGATGGAAAGACAGCTCACAACCGATGGCTTCAAAAGAGAACTAATGCAAATCTAGAAATTATGCTCAAAATTATTGGAAGATTATCAGCAAAATAATTTTCTGGAGTTGAATTTTCAAAATTGGTCAGACTTGATGGGGATCTCTTTCACAACTACTTTGTTATAAGGTGACTACAAATAAATCAAATACGAGTAAGGAGGCTAGAAAAAGTACAAATATAAAAAAGTTTATGAATGAAATAAAAAGTGTTTTTAAAGAATGATAACCAGCACCTTCATCTTGTATTTTAACAATCTTCCCAATGTTTGAAAAGTATAAAATGTAGGTGCAGCCTTCACTTATTTGTGTAGAGCAGCACGAGCCAAAGTAAAGGGAGGGAGATGAAGGATCCAATGACGAGAGCAAGACGCAAGAGATGAGGCAGACAATGAAACAGAAGCAAGAGGCCTAAGTAAAAGGAATAGCAAGAGATAATCCGACCTAGTTTTGGATTTGCTTAGGTATGAGTTCTCTTAAATTGTTAAAAAATCCTCCACTATTTCTCATCATTCTCTTCACAAGGAAAAGTTCCCAGAAGATAGCTATAATAACGGAGAAAGGTTTGAATATAAGCTCAAAATCAAATAATTCCATAAATCGAAAACTAGATTTCACAAAACCTAATTACTGTAATAAACATTAAGCAACAGCAAGCATATGAACGAGAGTCAGCGAATTAACAAAGACACCCTAACCTCCATAACGCGGTCTCCATTCCCCGACCCTTGAATCCCTGCATCAAAACAAAAATCCAAATAAATCAACCGACGAGAGAATTAACATCGCCTACGAAAGAAAATGTAGAAATATAACGCACCATATTGATTCAAGTTTTCCAGATCGGAGCCGGAGGAGGTCTTATTCAATCTTTCCGCAGCTCTCTTCAAGCGAATTTCTTCCAACTGCACGGATTTCAGCAAAATAAGATAAAATCCCGAATGATAGGTATGACGTAGAAGAAAAGGGAAAAGTGCTACCGTTCGACGACCAATGGAAGCATGATGCGCATCCATGGCTGCAGAGACACTAGTAGGAGAAGAGCGGAAAGCTTCGCCGAAAATCGACGGTCGCAGCCCGCAACTAGCAGAAGGAAGCGTTATGCCTGCAAATTATCTTAAAACGTGCTGTAGAGCTATATTTTTATGATTCAAGTTTTTAAATCCTGTAATACAATATTTTTTCCCGTACTTAAAAGTAAAAGGTCTCATACTTAACGACCCAAAAATTAATAATTTATTTTTTCATTTTTTTATTTTTTTATCTTTTTAAGTCGAATAATAATCTTATTTTACGTCCAATAATTATTTTTAAAAATTACCATAGTTTAACAGCTCATTTATTTGGGGCAACCTTTCATTGTTTTCTTACACAATTGTATCATGTTGTTTTATTGCTATTTTCTATTATTTAAAGAAAAATCTAAGAAATTATGTTTTATAAAAAGAGCCTCCAAAATATAAATATAATTGTTAGCATATATAACTTGTTAAATATTTTATACTTATATCATATATTTAATAATATTATTATAATTTAATATCAATATGCATAAAAAAATTAATCAAATACTCATTCAAATTTTAAGCTTATTCAATTAATATAAATAAATAAAATACAAATCAAATATGACAACTTGAAAAAAATTAAGCAAATCAAATATGAATATATGTGAAAGCTGGGCTAAAACACGAACTCAACCATAATAACTTATGAGCCTGCCAAGTCAATTATAATTTATGGCATTCTCAACTCGGGCTCGATTACAATTAAATTTTATCTTATTTTACAATAGAAACTCTAATCCTGTTGCAATTTTACAATAAGATTATTAAAAATGTTTTCACACATTTGCGCAAACAAGTTTAAAAATAGAAGCAGAAGTTGGGTACATGAGACAAACAAATTCCCATATAAACTAGGCGATAGCTTGAGATTGAATGAAAGGTTCAGGCCTTAATAAGTCTAAGCAGATCTCCAATGAGATGCAGGGAGCCAGTTACCAGTACCTGAAATGAGCCACATAAAGCGCTTGTCAGCTGCATAACCACATGCATTTGATTAGAAAGCAAAGGGCTCATTCAGTTGCTTTGATAATTTTATTTTTTTATTCATGTTAAATGTTATAAATGAAAAAATTTTGGGGTTTAAGCAAATCCGACAAAAAGAAATTGAAAAATGAATTACTTTATAAACTATAATTTCTAACTCTGAGCAATGAAAAGCCGCAGTGTAAAGCATCAGAATCTATTTGACATTAGAAAATTTGAAGAAATTTTATTAAAGCGCTTTGGAAAGTCATTCTTTGGGAATTCGTTCCTAGAGGTGTTTGGCTACAATCTGGTACTAGGTTAAAGCAAATCAGGATTTATCAAATCACGTGCTACATAAATGGAGCTCCAGGCCGCTCACAAAGTAAATCTCTTAAATCTGCTCCACAATCATATTTAATGAATCCGGAGTTACATCATACAAAGAAACAAAACATGATAAATTTTAATTTAAGGGAGTGTTCGATTCAAACTTTATTTTTATCTTTTTATTTTTTTGGTTTAGCTGGATTAGATAGTTTGGTCACATTAAATGTCGACCATCTGATGATCCGATTAGGAGAGTGGATGTTTTAGATTCGACTTGTGTTAAAAAAGGAAGAGGTAGACCTAGGAAGACCTGGGCTTATTGTATAAAAAATGAACTTAATTTACTAGAACTAAATGAAAATATGACACTAAATAGGACGCAATGGAGAAAAAGGATTCATGTAGCCGACCCCACGCAGTGGGATTAAGGCTTTGTTGTTGTTGTTGTTGTTGTTGTTGTTGTTTGGGTTAGCTGGACTTAGGTACTGTTTGATTTGATGTACAATAGGTGTAAAGTGAAATAAATACAGAAATTTTAACTTTTTACTATTTGATTATCATTAAGCGTAAAGCAAAATTAATACACCATAGGATTTATATTTCCAAATATAATCAAAAAGCTGTATTAAGAATATGCATATAATTAAATAGCTGTGCATTAAGAATACGCATTAAGTAAAATAAAATATATATTCGAAAGAGAGGTGCCTTTCTGTGTACTACTGCTTGGAACTTTCATGAGCGGTTCGGTTAGGGTTTCTTGACTCCTTTTTGCTGAACATGGCGCCATAGCCATTTGGTTTAAAGAATTTTGGCTTTAATTTCTTGGAAGTTTTGCATGCATACCACTCAATTTGTCATGTATTTACATATCTGACACCTGAACGTTACCTTTATATTTATACCACCCAACTATATCACATCAAATAAAAAATCACTATGTTAACTTCTAAAAAGTGAAATACCATTTTTATGCATATATAAGATGGAATATATGCTTCGGTGTTAAATATGTAAATACATAGGAATTGACGGAGCAGCAATAATTTCAGGCAGCAAGAGCAAAGGAAATATTGTCATCATCGCTGATTCATAGGAGGGATCCAATGGCACTAGTTTTTGCTTGTAAAACTAGAGTAATAAATATACATGTATTTATGCATTCATGTACCCCCAAACGTATTTAAGTTGAAATAAAAGTTGGATGTAGAATTATAACTTTGTATATACAATTTTATAATGCTTTTAATTATTGTTTTGGACTTCTAAAATAGCTAAATGTTTTCATTACATAATTCCACGAGTTGTGTGAAATTTGTTAGTGCCCTTTTTTTAAGAAAGTGTTTGCCATTTATTTTCTTTTCTTTTTTGACTTCACAGATTTGCTACATGAAGCTCAACTTTGCATTTTGCTCCCATAATTGTATTTAAGGAGCAACAATATTTATTACAATTCTCTCAATGAAAAATATTGAAGAGATTACAAATCTAACACTTCATGGTGTTGCTCTAATAGTTCTCAATGTTTCTTTATGTAGTAAAGTGACTTGAACTCAATAATCCTAAATATTGAATTTAAAAGATTATTTATCAAAAATGTATCAAAATTCGACCTTGATGTTGATGACACGCCAACTTTATAACTCGATATATTTTATAACAAATTTTTAAATAAATATAAGAAGTAATTTATTTGTATTTATTTTACAGGCAACCAAATAAGCTCACGCATTTTGAATACATAATTTTTTATTTTACTTTACATACATATGGCCAAACAGAAAAAATAATTCCCATGTATTTATTTTACAGACAACCAAACAGCCTACCGATACATAATACGCTACATTCCCTTTTACTACAGCTCCTAAATCTCATTAAAATTATGCAACCAAACACTCCCTTGAGAAACAGATTAGATCAGATACCTTGGATACAAATTTTATTTAATTATTTGCATATTATACTCGCATTAAAATAAACCAAACATCTATAAGACACATCATGATCAAAGTTTATTCGACTAAGTCCCACAATTAGTGCAATTCACTTGGACTAGTAGTAGGGTGTTTTGGGTCCAAGCGCAAAATCTACGGTTTAGAATCTAACACATTAAGATGTGGGAATGAGTTTAAAAAAAAAAAGACTAAATCTCACAACTGAAGAGGGCAACGGGAATTCCTATAAAATTTTGGAGAAAACTAATTTCATCTAGAGAGAAAAAGCTCGAATCAAATAAACTATTTCAGGGCTTAATTGATTGCCTGATTATGGAAAGCAATTTTTGAGAAATGATGATTTCATTATACCTCTAATTTTGAATGGATAAAGGAGCCCGTTATTTTCTGAGGGACTTTTGAGGAGATTTGTTGTATCTGAAAGTAATGCTACCGCCCAAAAAACATCAAACAAAAAGACGTATATAATAAATTTCATTCTTTATCAAAACATAATTTCTAATGTCAAGCAATCAATAAGATCCTGTACAAAAACCACCTAGAAGGCACCATATAGAAACTCTCACGTGCAAACATGAACATTTTGAAATATAAACCAAAATGCACTTAGAAGTGTGTCGTTTGTCAGGAAACTGGAAGTAGAGCATGCTAGTCAGATTTTGAGATTTAAAGCAAGACATTCAGTTTTTAAAGAAGATATGATGTTTGAAACTTTTATCCGCCTAGAGGGTTAAACCCCAAAATAATCCCTCAATTATTTATATTTGTGACCAATTTAACCTCCGAGTATGACATTACTCAAATTTAATCCCTCAACTATCAAAATTGATCCAAAATGACCCCTCATGAACAGAATCACGATCATTTTGCATAATCGAGGAACTAGATGGATAATAATTTTGTATCATAGTTTCTAAATAATGAACTATTTTGATTTAATTTTAAGTAGTTGAGAAATTAAGTTGGATGAATGTGATATTTTAAGTGATACCGGAGTCAACCCACACGACTATAGGAAAAATAAATAATATTACTGAAAGCAAATAGGCACTTACAATCAAAAACATTTGAAAGGGATACGACACAAACTCAATCCATGGGTGGTAGAGGATGGCTAAGTGGTTGGAGAGCAGAGGTAGGAGACTAAAATGAGTGTGGGTGGTTAGGACAGTAAAGGAAGGTTGGAATTGCGTTTGCAGTGAAGCGGTGGGCTGGGACAGCAACGGCAGCACAGGGGAAGGGTTGTGGACTGCATGACAGCAAGAGAAGTGTTGGTTGGTGTGGGGGCAGAAAGCGAGAACTACAAGAACAGCAGGATATTGTTGCAGCCTATGCAGCAGTATGTCGGAATGATTGTTGGACAGCTAAGAAGGGCAACTGGGATGTGTAGCGGCAAGGTGGGAGGTGGCTGGGAAGGAAAGCAACGGGTGGAGGAGGTGGTGGTTGGCGGCTATAGTTACAGGAAAGTAATTCTTGCTGCGAGGAAAGGCGTTGGCAACAGCGAAAAAAGGGTTGCAGAGGATGGGAAGTCGAGGATAATACTCCCTCGTGAAAAAGCTACAATCGGAGCACCACTTGACTCTTGGAAGAATATCACACTCCCCTTTGAATACAACCCTAAAAGGGAGAAATCACGACTCCGGCGGCTGTCATAACATGAACATGAAAAAACTAACCTAGATACGATGAAAACAAAATATATAGACCTAGAGTAACAAAAGATTTGCCCCAACATCAGTTGGGTGACAAATCCTATGAGAAGTAAAGTTGGGCAGCTCCCAAGATGTGTTTGCCTGAGCCGAATGCCCAATCCAAAGGAAGGGAAAGCCTGTTGGCCCAGAATTCCAGCCGCAAGAGACCCAACAGTTCAATTCGGGACTCCCGTAACATGTACGTTCACGTCAATCTCCCGGCTAGGGAGAGCTTCCGCTTCATCTATCGAAGCTTTTGTCTTCTTGTAGCATGGAATCGGATCAGGCATGTTGAAGATAGTGGAGCTATTGCAAGCTCCCAAGGCTAAAGGGTCTTCGCCTGCACCCCTAGAAGCACATGGTCCCACTGTCAGTTGCACTGTCCCCAAAAACACCTGATGAGTCATCCATATCAAGCAAAACATATGAGGGTACACTGTTGAACTGAACGAGAACTTCATGTCAAGTGTGCCCTGCAGAGTCTTCCAAAGATAGCCCTAAGGTTGGCTCAGTCCAACCTGATGTGAGAATGGACCAAACTCCTAACGGTGGCATTCATGGTAGTAAGGTATCAATTATGATGTCCTGACATGCTCTTTGTAGTATGTTGGAATTATTGTTGGATAGTTAAGAAGGGCAATTGGGATGTGTAGCGGCAAGGTGGGAGGTGGCTGGAAAGGAAAGCAACGGGTGGAGGAGGTGGTGGTTGGCGGCTATAGTTACAGGAAAGTAATTCTTGCTACGAGGAAAGGCGTTGGCGACAACGAAAGAAGGGTTGCAGAGGATGGGAAATCGAGGATAATACTCCCTCGAGAACAAGCTACAGTCGGAGCACCACTTGACTCTTGGAAGAATATCACACTCGCACCCACGCCTTTAAATCCAACCCTAGAAGGGAGAAATCAAGACTCCGACGGCTGTCATAACATGAACATGAAAAAACTAACCTAGATACGATGAAAACAAAATATATAGACCTAGAGTAACAAAAGATTTGCCC